ATGCCCACCCGCACATAATTAATGACTGTTTTGTCCACAGATCAATGAAGGGCCTGTTCATTAAAAGTCCCTTTGCTTCCTCAAAGATCCCCTTTGCATGGTTCAGTACTGCGGAGGAGGTGGCAGAGCCTGGCAGAATTCCCCTTCCGGTTTCATGTCTGTGGCTTTTCTTTTTCTTTTTTTCTTCTTTTTATTTCAGCTGGTGCAAGATTAAGAGGGAAGTCAAAGAGAGACTGAAAGCATGCAGAATGTGAGCAAACCTTTTCAAACAGAGAGAACAGACTTCAGGGAGCTGATTAGTTAGCATGTAAGAATCACGGTAGTGTGGCTATTTATCTTGTAGAGGCACATAATTACATTCTAGTAATAAGAGAGGAAACAACATTGCAAGACAAGCTAAAAATAATGACTGGTTATTGAAGGATCAACAGTCAGGACCTAACCTAATTCTTGTATATATATGTATGGTTGAAGAAAAACTGTAGCACTAGTTTGAAGGGCAACTTCTTCATATCTCTGCCGTACATACATAGCCCTTCAGTCAGTAACAATCAACCCTACAGTCTACAATCACTGTCAGTGCTTACAGATGCAAAAAAAACTAAATCCCTGTCTGTTGCTTCTTAAAAGATAAAAGATCAATGAACGCAACAGGAGCTGCATGGAGCACGCCTGACTGCCAGCCACCTGCCATAGCTAACACACTGAATGATTAGACCAGCGGTTGCTTCAATCTCGAGGATACACACGCAAACAAACACACACACACACACACACAGTTTGGCCAATGCAATGATAAGTGTCCACTATGATGTTGTCTCTCACCTCCCATCTGCTATGAAATCACAGCATCTCTGGAGATGGATAACAGGGTTTGAACAAACAGCAGCCTCATACTGGGTTGTGTTTTTATTGTGTTTATATGTTTAGCCATCTGAAGCAGTATCTTTGAATTGCAGTACAAATTCATCTCGTCCTTTTGCACCATTGTAGCCAGAAAAAGGTTTCAACATTGATCTAAACTGCGGTAACCATGTTACTTCTATAGTTCGGCTTTTATAACGTTATCTGAGTTTAATTTCTGGCCACTATGGCAATGGCCAGCCAGCCTGCACAAAGGACATATGACAGAAGGTATGTATATGCTGTTTCCCTATGTTGTTGTTTTTTTCCATTGTGACCTTTATATTATGATTTTTTTCTTGTGCGGTATGTGATATTTGTAACATTTTACATCTTTTAATTCATTTTTAACCCCTCCCCACTAAGCCAGTTCTCTGTTAAAAACGAAATACTCTCAAGAGACCTAAATAAATAATAAGTAATACGTACTCTTATCATATTGTATGCAATGACATTTTTGTGCTTTTTGGAACCGTTGACTGTGACAGTTTTGTACAGTTGATGTTTGTCTGGACATTCCATCAAATGTGATTATAATCTGCTCTCTAGTGTTTGAGACATCATACGAACTAATGACAGGCAGACGAACAGAGCTCGTAACATACACTCCTTGGCAGAGGTAATGGAAGAAGACGTTGAATGGCAACCGTTTTTCATAAGACACTCTGTTCCTTAAATATTTCCTTCGTCTGTTTGTATGCAAGGACCCAATTTTTCAGAGCCAATTTAGAATCATTCCACCCTTGGTCAGTCTTGCTGTAGATGGGTTCCCTTGTGTAACATCTGGCGGTCTCTAGGCAGTGTGCATCCCTCTATTCACTCCCTTGCTCATAAGCTGGTGTAAAATTGCCCCTTTGAATCTTCTCCACAGCGGATTCCTCATTTAGTGAGGCAGCTGTTCCCTGCACACAGTCAGAATCTTCCTTTATTTTGTGTGATGTACTAAACACGGCCACATAAGTTCTCTCTGTCCGTTTCTTTTGACTGATGAATGTGGCAGAACAGCTCTGAAATCCCCGGCTCCCAACGCTATGATGTGTGCCAGTCCCCTGGATTATGAGACATATGGAGGCATGTGAGTACACAAGCATGAGCAAATGAACTCAGAAAGTCTAACACAGTCAGTTGCAGATACAGCATACACACTGTAAACACTCGGATGGGAGAAACCAATATAGATGGACACACTGTAAATATTCACATAGGTTTTTAAAGCTTGCACATTACACATTTTACTGAACTAAACTATGCGAATTTGAGATTTTGGAAAAGCCTCCGAAAGCCTCCAACTCAGACATGTAGACTTAACAGTCATATTTTCATTTGAAGAAGTTAATCCAAATCTTTGCTTGTTAAACCTCTGGGGCTGGAGCAACATAGTCTAAAGAGCATTATCCATCTCCCATCATTTCAGTGCTCCAAGGTAGAACTGTTCCTATGGGCTAAATTTGTACACAGTGCAATGGTAAAAGTACGACGGATTAAAGTAGAAAGGTAGAATGTGAAACAATATCTAATTTTACAGTAGACCAAGAACAGAATTATTGTACACAAGAAGACTGCAACTGGAGCATAACAACCATATCTGAAAGAACAGTGAGGTTGGGAGAAAATAACAATGTTTAGGCCTTGTTTGTTTATGCATTATTGATAATACTGCAGTTGTTAAAAATGGACAAAAATAAATATAGCCTAAGAGTGCGAGAGAGAAAGAGAGACTACAATACAACAGCATCCCTGGCCACATGGTATGATCAACTGCCGACTGTTATCTAGCCTGTGAACCGGATCATAAAGGTCGCTGTTGTTGGTGTAATGGTCAAAGCATTAGTCTGTGTGTGTGTGTGTGTGTGTGTGTGTGAGTGAGAGTGAAGGGCCGTGTGTTGAATGTACCACTCTGCGTGTGCAGTAGGTCTAGTTTTGATCAGTGCAGAAGGATTTAAAGCTAGTAATACCTTATCCTGGCTTGGTACCAGTGACATACTTTTCACTCGTCTACCTCTTTGAACTACACATCCTCTGTGGGGTGAAAAAAAATGAAACAAATCAAATGTAACATCCTCTGTTTGTATTTGTTGTGCTACAGCTTTGAAGTCTACTGTAGCTGTTGTTTTTTCAATGATTTTAATGCTGTTGCTGAACCTTGTACAAACATGTGAAATGGATGAATCTCATTTGTTTAACAAAACTGTGAAAACACCAATTTGTTGCGCGAGTTGCCTGTAACTTCACTGTATCGACAAGACTCCAGGAAGATACCCAGGAAAGAAATAGTCCATCATGTTACTTCCACAACTTATTGTTGTTATTAATACACTTGACACAACTTAGGAAAAATTGAGCTAAACCTAAATTGAGCTAACAATCACCTGTCTATGCTTCATATTAACAGACAGATATGTGAGTGGTATAGATGTCGTACTATCCCTGGACAAGAAAGTGAATAAACATATTTGAAGAATGTAAAACTATTCCTTTAAGAGGATGTAAAACCCCTTAGTAATTTTCTTACAGTTTAGATACAGTTACTAAAACAGTTGATACTACCTCCTCATTCTGTACCAGCAGATTAGCGACACCTGGCTAAAATAGGGACGTTTTAATCACTTCAAGGGCCGATGCGTCCCAGCAGCAGCAGCGGTCTTGTGCCCTGTCGATGTGTCCTTGATTCTGACACTGAACCCTTACTGCACCTGCTCACTCATCACTCTCCATGGTAGCATCAGTCTAAAATGTTAATGTGTATGTCAAGTGTAAGTATCAAATGCTTCAGGTTGTAGTAAATGAGGACTGTGCTGTTAAATGTTCCCAGCGATAAGATATTGCTGCCTTAAGAAGCCTGAATTGGACGTAAAATATATACATCATAAACAGAAAGAAATATGTATTTAAGCTAATTAGTACAATTACTAATAACAATACTCATTAAGAAGTACACATGTAATGAACAGCTCTGTTTGAAAATCTGGTCTATGCGGGAAAACAACAAATTTGGCATTGTTGTCACCTAATTCTGGGATACACCAATAGTACAAACAAAAATAATTTTCATTGTGATGTGTGCCAACCTTCAACATCTTAATCAAATGCAGAGGATATTACCATAATGAGTTAAGAATCAAGTTTAGAGAGCATGGTTTGCCCATGAAGCCGGGACAAATTCCTGCAGGACATCTACTGGCTATGGGACACTGCACACACACACACACACACACACACACACACACACACACACACACACAATGACAGCGGTAGCAAAACATCTCCCCCGGATGTATCAGATTATACCATGCAGTACATTCAATTACATCTTATGGCAGATGGTGTAAACAAAATCAAACACACATAATCTTGAAGATTGGATCTTTCGGTTAGATATTAACCCGGATTTCCAAAGACCTGACACAGGACTAGACATATTAGGAGAAGGAGCGGCCTGTGAGGGCTCTAAAATGACTGACTCAGCAGTTTTTGGAAATGGGGTAATCCAGAGCATTGGGAAAACACACACTGTAGTGAAACACAAATGAGGCCAGAATATTGAGTGAATCACACATAGATTGGAAACATCGCGTGTGTCTCCCTCTCTATTCAATCGACTCGGCTTTAACTAACTGATTTATTTTATTATGGTAATTAAGTGATAATTACCCCAAATGTAAGGCAGCTGTTGTGTTGCACATACAAATTTATCGTGAATGTAATAGATTGATTAATAATAATGGGTCACATTCATCCATTTATTCAGCGAGATATTTTGTTGTGATTATATGCTACTTGCCTACAGTTAATAATGCAGCATATCTTCTGTGATTCAGAGAGGATTTATTTTCACTATTGGGTGTAATGTTCTCACGATGTCATTTCGTGGCCTTTTCTAAATTTATGGCTTTCTTCAACTTTAGGATGCCAGGGAGGATTATTTTATCGAGGCCAGCGCATGCATGAAAGTAGATAATAGCTTAAGGCAAATTGAAGAAACTGCTGCTCAGTTTACAAATGATTGTCTTAGCACTTTTTTTTAAATGGTTAAAATGGAGAAGCTAAGCGGACCTTATTACCTCGCAGCCCACGGCAAATGCAAATAACAGACTCACCATCCTTTAGCCAGATGACCTTGCTGCCACTCTGTGTGAATGATGGCTTTCAGGTCCTTCAGGTTGTCTTCATGCCATCCCACATTAAGTCTCTCTCCAGATATGTGGCTCCGCTCCAACTTCTGAAAAATAAAACAGACCCTGGAGTGAACTTCATTGTGTTTTTCCAGTTTAAATGAATACATTTCCCAGTTAGATTTCTACTAGGAGGGTTATAGGGGCAGGTGGGGAGTTGGAAACAAGGAGGGAGAGAAAGAGGGGGAGTCAATTTGCTAATGGAACATAGAGAAAAATGGTGTAGACCTATCTCAGTAAAGGATGAAAGAAGAGGCCAAGGAAGAAAATAAAAAAACTCAGTCAGTCTGGAGAGAGCGAGAGTGAGCTATAGGGCAGGAGGTAAAGTGGTTTTAAAAAACACCATCATTAACTGTCATCTTCATCTCAGGTGCAAGGCTAGAGAGCGAGGGTTGGGAGAGGGAAGGAGAGGAGGGAGGGAGGAGGCACTATATTTTCCCAGGAGATCATTCAGTAGCCTACAATCTTCATTTAATTACCTGCTTTACATCGCCAAACCACCTCCTCCGCCACTGCCCTCCTCTTGCCTTACCACGGGTGTAACATAGAGTGGTCCACCGAGACTGCAGTGCAGCTATTTAACTATGTTAATTAAAGTCCAACTTGAGTCTAATCACGCAAACTTTGTCCTGACGATGGCATTACAAAACAGCTTTCTGCTGAAACCCAGTTGCCATGTAACTGTGCGTCCAGATTACAAGCTAAGGGCTCTGTCAGCAAGATGAAGCTCCAGGATTTAGGCCTCTTAATTCAGCGGAACATAATTTACAATCTTTCTTGACTGGCTGCAATAGAGGTCATTTGAACTGGGTAGATGTTTAGGTGACTGAAATGCGAGCACAAGCATACTTTCATGATCTCTTTTAAGGCATGCACATTCATTCTTCAGTCAATGTTCTGGGGACATATGCCAATCACCATTACAACTAATTGTGCTACTAGGTATGATAAACATTGGTATTGGCATACTGATATTTCCAGATATCATAAATACATTCATTACCTCGACCAAGGAGGCAATGTCTTTGGTTTGGTTTGTTTGTTTGTTTGTCAGCAGGATTATGGGAAAACTACTCGCCCGATTGCCATGAAAGTTGGTGGAAGGATGTAGCACGGGCCAAGGAAGAACCCATTACATTTTGGAGCAGATTCAAATCACGTGGAGGATACACACATTATATTTCACTTATGAAATCGGCCTTGGCGGAGGTCTGCGCTCTCAGAGTGCCCTCCTAAACTCCAGTTTTTTTGGTCTGGCTATTTCACGATCCATTAATGTTTAGGAGAGCTGTAAGGTTTCTGTGTCACATCTGAAATTTGTCATAATGTTTGTGAACATTTTTATGCACAACTAAATATCTTTTAATCATTTTAAACAGCAATGCAATCACAAGAGGCTGAAATACTAGAATGTACAACAGTAGAAACCACTGCAGCAGAAAATAACCCGGCAATAAATGCTAACTTTCTGAATGATATTCCGTTTTCTTTGAGGCTGTATCAGAGATATGCTGATTCTACTCTTTCCTCTTAGATGGTCTGTTGTTTGCGAGGTTGTTTAATCAGATTATATTCTACTGTAGGAGCACCTTATACTATGCATTAAGAAAATACTCCCTTGCACAAGCTGCGGAGACTCACTGCATGTACCACAAAGCATTGACCCAGTACCACTGCTGTTTGCACCATCGTTAAAGACGACTGTAGGCAATATCACACGCCTGGTTAACCACGTCTTTCTAATAGCCTGTCATGTTATCTGAGAATACAGGTGATTTTGATCAAGTGGATAAGTGGGCCTGGTCGATAAAAAACAACTCGCAGTCTGACAGGCACCAACAGACCACATTTAACTTCTATTGACATAATGAACTGAGTGTGAGTGGACACATTTATAAAAAGCACATGACGAAGCATATTTTCCCATGCTATTGCTTTTTGTCAATTTAAGGCTGCAACACTTTAAATAGGAGATGATAACATAGGAAAGAAGAACATGGCAGGATCTTTTAACACCTGTTGGGAAGGCAATATACATATTATGATAACGTGAAAAACCAAGTATATAAGCATTCCTCTCTTCGCCCTGCTAAACTCACATTTGTGAACACTTGTGCGACACAAAATAACGTTTGATATACCAAATGTTAAACGTGTAAGCGTGAGCTTGTGTAAAGCATGGTGTTTTAACCTTTAAGTATGTAGAAAAGTCAAACTGTTTGTAGTAGACAACAAAAGGGAGCTTCTGCAGATTTTTTGCTGAATGGATGCAGAGGGCCTTGAGGAGGTGCTGACGCTCTGAGCTTATCTTGATCAAACACCAATATGTTGCGGTGCAGATTCCTCACTGGGCCTGCAATGGTTCCATTGGTTTTTTTGACTTTTTTTTTTTTCCTCCCACTCAATCTTTTTTTCTGTCATTGCTTTTGCCTGTTGCTGTGATACTGGAGTTTCTTTCATCATCTCATCTCATTTTAAGGTATAATTTACCTGTCCCCACAGTGGCAATTTGCGATAGTTTTGTCCGCAACTTCAAACAAACAACATAGCAGTCACTACATCAATGTGATACCCTCAGTAGTATTTCATACTGATGGTGATATTTGTCTTTTATTCATCATTTAGTTTTAATTCACACCAGTTTTTTAGGACAATTCAGTAAATTATACATTCATTGTGAATGCATAGATAATGTCACTTCTGTGGTCATTGGACTTATTGATTTACACTTATTTCATCGAGGTATATTACTTACATTAGCCCAAAACGCTATATGCTTAACCCCAATCCTGACCCTAAACCAAGGGTCTCAAACTCAATTTGGCTTGGGGCCGCTGCTGATATCGTCATATTTTCGTCATAGTTTCTTGACATTTTTAGATTAGAGTGCAATTATTTTTTCCTTACATTATTTTAATTAACTCATTGAAACATTGCACTCAACCAACAAATGCAATCCCTGAATACATTTGCACTTCATTCTATTTCTTGCCAGACACCTGGCAGCAGTTCTGCTCACACAGCTGAGCCACATTTGACCTGATCGAGGTCAGAGTTGAAACCCTAAGTACAGCTTCAAGATGGGCATCACTAAGCCTGGAACTGTATCTATTTGCATTTATTAAACTTCATAGTCGATAAAAGTTTCTCACACAGATATGTGCTTCCAAAAAGGCACATTACTCGACTGAACACTTTTGTCAGCTCAGGGAAGGATGGAGGTAATTCTCTCATAAATTGTCCAGTCATGTCTGGTTTTCCCTGTGCCTCTCTGAATTTAGCTTTTAGATCACTGTTGCAGTGCAAGTCAATGAGTTCCATTTGCAATATACTCGGGACACTCTCCACATCAGCTGAGAAGTGGTCTGCAAACAGCTGGAAAGTGTCACGGCGTGCCTTGAAGTCAGCAAAACGCTGATCAAACTCCTGCAGTAGGTTTTCAATAGCACAGGCATTTACATCACCACTGACTGCTGTGCCCTCATCCACAAGAGATCTGCAAGTTGTGAAATGGCTGAGATTTTTTTTGCAGAAAGCTGAGTTTTCCACAATTTCAGTTCTGTGGAGAAGGCTTTGACATTTAAATAAGCTGCCGTGATCAGGGCCCTGGTACTTCAGGTTAAGGATGTTCAGCTCCTGTATATGTCCAATAGGAATGCAAGGTCCATAACCAATCTTGGATCGTCAAGTTAACAAACCATTCTGCCATCTTTCATGAATTTCTTCACTTCTGCTCTTAACTCAACAAAGAAATACTGCAAAGTCCATCTATCTTTAAACTGTCTGTGATCATCATCCACTTTCCTTTTCGGTTTGGAAATAGACATCTTTGTTGTTCGCAGCCACACAACTAATAAAGCTTCGCGTAACCTGCTCTCTTCTTATCCAAAACTGGCCGGTCATGTGTGGTCAGCTTTGACTTTTGCCTTTATATTGCCCCAAACTAAATACATTTTTTAATAGAATTTTGTTTTTGTTTCAATTGTATATTAAGGGGTACTTTAAATTGATATGAAACAACTAGAAAAAAATATTAAATAAAATAATTATTTTGCTGGATAATACAATCTTTTTGGCATTATGTAGCAGCCCGCAGGGATCGGGGCTGGCAGTTTGAGACCCCGGCCCTGAACCATAATTGAAGCATAATTATATCCTTAATAAAAGCAATTGTCAATATGTATTGGTTTACCTCGTGGGGACCGGCTTTTTGTCCCCTGATGGAAAGTGAGTACCCACAATGCGATTGTGTGCAGAGATTGTAGACCACACAAAGAGAATAATATGATTACACACACAAATTCAGACAGTAACGGCATATTGGTGGGTGTCTTCTGTGCTTGCTTGCTTGTCTAGTTGTTTATCATCATTAGCCTAGCTGAAAAAACAAAACTACAAGAAATTATCCGCAGTGACAGAACATCGTGTACACTCAAATTGAGTCATTGTGCCAGATCCAATGGATAACAACATGTGCTTTGCTAAAAAATTGATTTACTGAGTTAAGAGGGACAGCTCTGGTGTTGTTGCACAAAGCTGCATGAAATAGTCTCTGTCTAGTCTGATAGACAGATTTTTTTTGCAGGCTTTCCTTAAGTAAATTCAGAAAACAATAAATTACTCAAAACAAAGATGGGGCAGCCGAGGAAAACAAGTTGACCACAACAAATAATGTTTCAGGAAAGGGTTTTGAATGTAGTTGAACACCTTCAGTTTACCGAATTGGGCATTTGTACCTTTGTTATTCAGTATATAAAGAGCATTTTGACATGACTTCACATGAATACAATATTAAAAACTGATCAACTGATGATGATATATGATTTCACATTATCAGTAAAACCTTACTTATAATGTAAAACATAAAGAAACTGATCTTTCACACCATACACATCTTCATCCCTCCCCTTAGGTCTTTTACTTTCGTTGAATTAATCATGTAAGCACCCCATGAGAGTACATGACATGGTCCTCTGTGAAGCAACCAGCACAAATCCCATGCAGCGTCTCCACCTCCCAGTACTTTTATCTGCATACTGTGGCTCTA